GTAGTCAATCGTGATAACACCACTAGAGAGTAGTTGTCTAACGGTATTGTATCTCCGTCGAATGTGATGAGATTTTCCGTTATACATAACGCTCCTTGCCCTGCCTATTACCGCTTGACTATCACAATGTATACACATAGGTGCCAAAGGTTTGGGCCAAAATGAAATATCTTTCAAGAAATTCCGGAGCCATTCAACTTCTTCACCGGCCTTGTCTAAGGCTATAAACTCAGCCTCCACTGTAGAGCGGTCAATGCACATTTGTTTGGACGATTTTCAAGACATCGCTCCTCCACCGACTATTTAGAATCGGTTGACCCGGTGATCTAATTTGCATCACTATACCCCTCTATTATCGCGGAATACTTATTGTAGTGAAAGCATAATTTGGAGTATATTTCAAATACTTCAAAACTCGTTTCATTGTCATGAAAGTTCACTGCAAACTTTCTTATGTCATAGACTAATACGTCTTGACTTTTGATTGCATATCAGATTATTGACTACACTTAATGTAGTAATAGTTTATTATAACAACAGCTGGAGTGATTGGCATCAGTTGTGGCTACAACCTTTTAATATATAACACATTTCGCAATCATTCCGCAATTTCAAGCATTTGTATGTTATTTATTCATACGTCTATATGATATGCAAATTATAGCACCTTCATTCATGAAACAAATCCAACTTGGAATAGATCTTGTTCATGTTCATAGGTTGGTTCACCTCATTATAGACCAACGTGTTAATTATTTTTCATGAACGGTCATGTTTATATAAAACATATAAACGCACTTTTCATGAAAAGTCACATCCTTCCAGGTGACACTCTTTCATAAAAGAGCTAAACATTATAAATGTTCAAGAAAGAACAAATCATTACAACTTTCGAATTTGTAGTTTCATCACGAGTCATCACTAAGACTAAACAAGTAATGAATTCATCGACTATCATATCAATATCCACTAAGGATTGGTGGGGTTCAAAATTATATCATTTAGACATTACGTCTAACATCGCTTGTGTCATGCATAAGCTAAACGCTCCCACATTTCAAATATTTCATGTGTCTTTTCTATCAATATATAATCGATATACAAACAAACAATGACTACATAATGTAGAGTATTCTTAATGTAAATACACTAGTTTGAAATCATTTGACAATATTTTCTAGTCAAATTCCACATGCCATTGTTTGGGTGCTTGTTTTAGTCCGTAAAGTGACTTAACAAGTCGAGACACCTTCTTTTCTTTTCCAAGAACCATGAACCCTTTAGGTTGTTCTATATAAATTTCTTCCTCCAATCTCCATTTAAGAAGGTTGTCTTTAAGTCCATCTGATGGATTTCAAGGCCATACACGGCGGCTAACGCTATTAACACCCGAGTAGATGTGATCCTCATTACCGGCAAGTATGTATCAAAATAATCAAGACCTTCTCGTTGTCTAAATCATTTGACAACTAATCTTACCTTATATTTATTTGTCAATAGTACCATCAGCTTTCATTTCCCTTTTGAAAATCCACTTAGAACGCAAAGGTTTATTTCCTGGAGGAAGATCAACCAATTTCTAAGTATGATTACTTAATATGGATTCTATCTCACTATTGACTGCCTCTTCCAATATTGTGCTTCCGAGGAAGACAATATTTCTTTAAACGTTTGAGGCTCATTTTCCAACAAGAATGTCAGAAAATATGGTCCAAAGAAAGTAGTTATCCTTTCACGTTTACTACATCTTGGAATTTTCTAATTCAACGTACATTCCTTTGCTTCTTCCCGATTTCGCTTAGATATTTCACTAGACGACTCACATTCCTTTTTATACGGATAAATATTCTCAAAGAATTCAGCATTATCTGATTCGATAACCGTATTAATATGAATGCCGGAATTTTGCGATTTATGAATCGGAAAACAATATGCCTTACTATTTCTTGCATGTATTATAAAAACGGAATCAACAGTTTTCGATCCAATTTTTTATCCTTTTGGGTTTAAGAACTTGCACTTTACCCAAATACCCCCCACACTTGGAAATATTTCAAGTTGGATTTTCTTCTTTTCCATTTTTTTATATGGAATGGAATGTGTCTTGCTATGGGGAACTTGACTGAGTATACAGTTATTTGGAAAAATAACTTTCCCCCCACAAGTTCTGGGGTAAAACAGAACTTATCAACAAGGCATTCATCGTCTCCTTTAACGTTCTACTCATTCTTTCCGCAATTCCATTAGATTGCGCTAATGAAGGGACAGTCGTTTGGTGAATAATGCCATATTCCAAACATATTTCTTCAAACGCCGCCTCTATTGCTTTGTAGAGCCAACCACATGAACTGTTGTTTGTCTCATTAACAGAGCCAGAATAAATGGTGAAGTTTTTTTAATCTTCAAACCAATCTGACACCATCAGAATTAATAAACGGTGAAGTTTTTAATCTTCTAACCGAGAAATACCTGATACCGGATCTAATACACGGTGAAGTTTTTAATCTTCAAACCGAGTAATATGTGACACAATTAAATTTAATAAACGATGAAGTTTTTAATCTTCAAGCCGAACAATAAATTAGAGTATAAAGTCACTTAGACTTTAATTTCCGACAAATGAGTAGAAAGTCACGAAGACTCTAATCTCAACGAATGAGTAAAAAATCATGCAGATTTTGATCTCGAAGCATGAGTAGAAAATCACGAAGATTTTATTCTCTATAACGAGTGTAGAAAATCATGAGAATTTTAATTCCCTTTCCAAATAATTTTCAACTAAACCATTATAACACTTAAACAGTTCAATAGTGTCATCTTTTGCTCTAATCAAATAAATATATGTACATCTTTACATATTACTTTCATGATCTCAAGAATATTTTCGAAAAAAATTAGTGTAAGCCTCATTCATGTCTTACAACTTTGAAAATAATACCCATATATGTTCATGCATGTTACCAAATTACATATATTCCATTTGGTTAAGAAATTACAAAATTAACCTTTAATCATATGTTATTTCTAATCATCATAACATGCAAAAATCATATAAAATTACTTGCCCTAACATTTATGGAAGCCGATTTCATAAATCATATAGAGCAAATAATAATAATAATAATAATAATAATAATAATAATAATAATATTAATAATAATAATAATAATAATAATAATAATAATAAAATAGAGCCAAGAAAGTAGAACCCGAATTTTGTTGCCAACTTAAAGTGTTGTTGCACTCTGCAATCTTTGCCATGTTGACACAAGGACTGTCAGGTTTATAATCTCCTCTATTATAATCACCAAAATAAACCTTGAGAAAATTATGACGACCAGCCACATCAAAAATTAAATTCCTTAAGATTGTTGGTATTACTGTGTTCAAAATCAGAAAAGTAAACAAACGTTAGTTCAATAAACAAAACGTAAAATAATTCTGAGCCCACTGAATGCACAATGTGTCCTTAAGGAATTTAATCCCCTCACTGTTGCCCAAGGTATACGGATTAATTCCTCCCAGGATAGAACGGAATAACTATTCTGTGATAGCGGCACTTCAAATCACAGAACTTCAGCGAACTCAACAAACGGAGCAAATCACACTTGACACTTATGTTTATTTAGAAAATAATGCAACAATGTAGAAAAGAGGGGAGAAGATTTCAGATTTTCCATGTCTGATTGCATGTCTAAAAAATAAGGCCAAGCCTCTAAATTTATAGACAAAGGAAGGGTGATATGGAGAGGTGCAATCTAAAAGGTGCCTCTTCCATTTCCCATTCACACCCCTTAATAAAAACGCAACAACGATAACCTGATATTTTAATATCAATTGCTAATGACACAATTACTAGCCACTATAATTCGTCAAATTGCAATAATATTACAAGATCCATCAGTCCAAAAGAAATTGATAGTAATTAGCTGGTGGTTAGTTGGGTCATAATAGATAGTGGACCTTTTTATAAAATACAAATGTTTGAGGTAATTTTTGAAATTATTAAAAAATCAAACAGTGATGTTTTGCCAAAAACTAGTCTAGAGCTAGTTTTGGGATCCAAAACATGGATAAAATCTATAAACAAATATGTTTTGCCAATTTTTTTTTGAAAAACCTTGGCAAAATATATGGCCAAACGGGGCCTAATCTCTCCATTTCTCCAATTTCCTACTTGGATGGGAGACACGTGTTATGGTTAAAAATCAATGGACGGGATTTAATTAAATAAAATAAAGCCCTAACCATAGTTAAAATATTTAATTCCTTCTTTTATTCATTCCCAAATAATATCTTTCGCAATCCCGCAATTATAGATAATTAGCTACACACTATCTAAGATTCTTTCTCTTTTTCTCGTAGTAATTTTTTTTGTCTGTGAGTTATTTTTTTTTCATTTCTACTAAATTCTCCATTCTCATTAAAAAATAAGAAATAGAAGTAAGCAACATTTGATAATAATTAAAGAACAGTACAAATAGTAGAAGTACGTTCCAATCTTGCACAAATTTTAGAGAAACTTTTTTCTTCAAACAGAGGAGGACAATAAGGGGAATTTGAGGGAAGCAACAGAAGAAAAATTTTCAGCTCTATTTTTAGCTTTCACAACACTGAAACAACGAAAAACAATTGTTTTTTTTTTTTTGGTGATTATAAGCTTTTCATTAATAACCAAAAGTATTATGTACAAATCAGCCAGAATTTATAACACAGTTCGCTTCTCTCATCTCTTCTATCAGTATTCTCTTCAACACTAAAAGCCTTTGCTATCAGCATCTATTGCCTACCTAGGAAAGCTATACTTTTGAATTAGTATCCTAGTAGTACTATTGGCTCGAACATGACAAATATATGCAATCTCTCTAGCCATTGTTTCACATGTATTATCCATATGAGCAAAGAGCCTGTTGTGCCTTTCTATCCATATTGCATAGACATATTATGTAAACACCAGCTTCACTAACTTTGCCTTCATAGTTTTCCCTTTTATGTTCTGCTCAATCCATTGTTGCATCTGGTTCCATGTGCTTATATCCACCCAAGTGATTTGCAGCCACTGCATTAGCTTCTTCTAAACCTGTCTTCCAACTGCACATTCCACAAACAGATGATCCCTGGTTTCAGCTACCTCTTTAGACATTACACAGTTATTTTCAACTTGAATTGCCCAGCTTTCCAGTCTTGCAGCAGTTAGCAGCCTATCTTGTTGTTGTAGCCACGTTATAAACACTGCTTTTCGTCTTGCTTCATTGCCACACATGATGCTTTTCCATATAACTTTAAGTAACTCCCCAAGCGTTTTCAAATATATGCTTCTGATCATGCTTTTGTTCTTCAAGTACTCTAGTTGCACATATCTCAAGTCAGCTCTTGCTTTGAGTATTTTTTTGACACCCAACTAGCTTGTTGGGGGATAGTCAAACTCTCCAAAGTTTGTGCTTTTATGTAGTATTCATGAATCCACTTAATTCACAAAGTGTCTTTCTTAGTCTTCAAGTCCCAACAAATCTTTGTTATGGCTGCTTTGTTCCATAATTTAGGATTTGTGAGATTTAATCCCCCTGCTGACTTTGGCATGCACATCCTACTCCAAGCTACTAGCGACTTTCTGGTAATTTCGTTTGTTCTTGACCATATAAAGCTTCTGCAGTATCCCTCTATGGCTTTCATCACCTTAGCAGGTATGATAAATAGTTGTGCCCAATAGGATTGAATACCAAAAAGCACTGACTTTACCAGTTGTACTCTGCCTGCATATGTGTCACGACCCTAAAACCTGATCCGGTCGTGATGGCACCTATCGTGAAACTAGGCCAGCCGACACAACTCCCGAATTCAACCCTTTAGTCAATAACAATCATTTTTAAGCCATTAATTAATTTATATCTAGTAATGTAAGTCTAAATGAACAGTGCAAAATAAATACACCAGCCCGACATCGGGGTGTCACAAGTCACGGGCATCTACTAAGGTCTGAATACAACTAAGAGTCTAAAAATATACTAAATACAGTCTAAGGAAGACAAGAGGGAGAAAAGCAGTGCTGCGAACGTCGGGCAGCTACCTTGCTAACTCCAATGACTCTGCCACTGAGCAATCAACACCCGCTACCGGGTTTAGAAATACATGAATCTGCACACAAGGTGCAGGGAGTAATGTGAGTACGCCAACTCAGTAAGTAATAAAAATAAACGAAAGCTGAGCAGTAAGAAAACACGTAAGCCACATCATGATGCTACAGCAAATACAGTACATTTCCAAAACAATACAGAAATCGTTTATTTCGTAAATCAAACTCAGTTTCAGTAAAAACCCTTTCCTTTTTAAAACATCTTTCAATGGTTTCAAACGAGTGAAAAAAACAGTGAGTAAAAATGATAGAAACGTAAACAGCCCCTCGGGCAAAGCATGTACCATAAACCGCCCCTCGGGCATAATATCGACAGAATCAGCCCCTCGGGCTACCTCACAATCACTCGTAATCAGCCCCTCGGGCATAACATAAATCAAGAACCGCCCCTCGGGCAAAATATCAATAGAACAAGCCCCTCGGGCTATCTCATAATAACTCGTATCAGCCCCTCGGGCAACAAAATGAAACAACAACAGCCCCTCGGGCTACATCACATCACTCACACTGGGTACCCGCACTCACCGGGGATGTACAGACTCCGGGAGGGGCCCCTTACGACCCAAGCACAATAACAAGCCATCTCGTGGCATAATCAAACATGCTCTCGGCCTCATATCAATCACAAGTCACCTCGTGGCATAATAAATCAGGCCTCGGCCTCTCATCAATCACAAGTCAGTACCACATGCTGCGGCGCGCAGCCCGATCCAACACATGCCTTTAGCCTCACTTAGTCAGATCTCACTCAAGCCCCTCGGGCTGACAGTAAAACAGGTACTCGGCTCAAAATCATTTATGAAATCAAAGGAGTGAATAAAACCGAGTTATGAAAACAATAAGAACATAGCATAATTGAGTGTTAACATTAAACCAAAACAGTGAGGAAAAACAGTAGTAAAAGCCCCTAAGGGTCCAAACAATCGGCACAAGGCCCAGACACGGCATTTAGTCCCAAACACAATAATATTTTCCAAAATATAACAATATCAAATAGTTTTCAAGTAAAATACGCGACTTAATAGTCGTACGGGATGGACCAAGTCACAATCCCCAATGGTGCACGACCCCACACTCGTCATCTAGCGTGTTCGTCACCTCAAAGTAGCACAACGATGTGAAATTCGGGGTTTCATACCCTCAGGACAATATTTACAATCATTACTTACCTCTATCCGGTCCAAACTCTAGCTCGCGATGCCTTTGCCTCTCGACTCGGCCTCTAGATGCTCCAAATCTAGCCAGAAACTGTACCATACCATCAAAATATGCTAAGGGAACAAAGCCCACTCGAAAATAACCAATTTACATCAAGAATCCTGAAATTGACCAAACCTGACCCCGGGGCCCACGTCTCAGAATCCGATACAAATCACAAAACTAGAATCCTTTCACTCTCACGAGTTCATACATATAAAATACATCAAAATCCGACCTCAAACGACCCCTCAAATCCCTAGATTTAGGTCTCCAATTTCCAAGCCCTAACTTCCAATTTGCTACTGATTTTTCCCATATAATTCAAGCTTACAACCTCAAAAATCATCATAAAAACGAGTTTAGGGACCAAGGACCTTACCTCTAAGAAGCCCTCTTGAATTCTCCCTTCAATTAGCTCTCCAAAGCTTCTTCCCGTTTGAAATGTGGTGAAAATCCACTCAAAATCGCGAAGGTGAAATTTATATATTCTGACCCAGCAAAACCGCACATGCGGTTAAAATCTCGCACCTGCGGACCCGCACCTGCTGTCCCAGGTGCGCTTCTACGCAAATCACTTATGCGCCCCAGACCGCACCTGCGATCACACTCCCGCACCTGCGCTATCGCAGGTGTGCTCAATCTTCCGCATCTGCGGTTCCAGCGCCTCTTGCCCATTTCCGCATCTGTGACCCAAAATGCGCTTCTGCGGGCCCGCACCTGCGTTCTCCTAGCTGCTGGTGCGGTTATGACAGGAACCTAGCACTTCAGTTGCATATCCGAACTCAAAACCTCCCGTCAACCATCCGAAATTCCAACGAGGCCCCGGGACCTCAACCAAAAGCACAAATAAGTCGTATACTACTATACACACTTATACCAATCTTCAAAACACCTCAAACAACATCGAATCAACCAAATCACATCGGATTCAAGCATAAGGTTCCAAAAACTTCTGAATTCCGCTTTTGATCAAAAAGTCTACCAAACCTCGTCCGAATGACTTGAAATTTTGCACACACGTAACATTTGACACAACAAACCTACTGCAACTTCCGAAATTCCATTCTACCCCTATATCAAAATCTCACCTATCAACCGAAAAACGCCAAAATTTCAATTTCGCCAATTCAAGCCTAAATCTACTCCGGACCTCTAAAACACATTCCGATCATGCTCCTAAGTCCCAAATCACCAAACGGAGCTAACCAAATCATAAAAATTCCAATCTGAGATCATATGCTAACAAGTCAAAACTTGGTCAAACCTTTCAAATTTAAGCTTCAAACTGAGAACTGTCTTTCCAAACCCTTCTGATTACCCTGAAAACCACAACCGACGATTTGCATATGTCATAATACATCACACGGGGCTAGTCATGCCCGAGAATTGGTGAGCGAAGTGCAAAAGCTCAAAATGACCGGTCGGGTCGTTACATCCCCCCCTGTTAAACATACTTCGTCCTCGAACGTGCCAGAGTTGTTCTGAAAACCATCAAATCGCTGTGTAACCTTACCATGCACATACCCGGGGGTGATCCCACGTCACCCTATCTCATATAGGTCCGATAACACAATGTAACTGAAATTTCTCAATCCAACCTAGCCCATAAACCTTAGAATCACATTTCCACTTCTGAAATCATCTATATGATCAGAATCTCACATCTATACTTTGAATAAGTCCGAACAAGCTGTAACGAACCATACCTACAGTCTCAGATGCAATTACATGATATACCACATAGCTCTAACTGTCGTAGCGATAACTTCTAATCACAGCAGTTGCTTAGAACAACCGAATATCGATAATAAACCTCTTATCAAACAAAGCCTCATTCCAACACTTCCGTATACTGCCAATGATAAATGAAACACGTAGAAAGTCATAACCATTCCTCAGATTAACCATTCGTGAAGCCACTTCTCCTTTGGCGAGGACCATAGCAAATTTCTGAGCCGAACATCGATATTATCCTTCCAACACACTGAAACCGAATCCGTTTGTATTCATTATAGATCCCAACAATATCATCTAATCCTACACAACTAATCTGGTGATATGACACATCAATACAAACTAAAGCCATAACTCGTGCAATACGCGCACCAATAAGCAACAATCCGAACGTACTCAAATCAGGAAAAACGACTCAAATGAAAGAGCTGTACCGCAAGCTCACCAGAACCACCACAACTCAATGCTGAGAACCCATCACACGTCGTAGAAACAGAACACACGAATCCAACCCAAAGGGTCATATCTCCACATAACTTCGCTGCAATGCGCGACCCTATCCGAATACTGGCCCACATGAGACACCTCCAGTCACTATGCTCAAAATCGACAACCACGCACAATTTGATATCTAGTACCCAAGCAAATCATCTTTCATAACAACGACGAAGAAATTGACATAATATTACGCAAACCCGAAAGGACGCAATCGATACGCCATCCGCTGAGCAATACCCAATACTCTTCCCGCTCGAATCCCACTGAGAGACCCAATAAAAACCGCACCACATGTGCCTATAACCAACAAATCCTAACGCCTCGCAACACGGGAAGGTAATTCATAGATCTCCCCATATCACTAATAAGCTCAATAACAATCAAATCAATACATCCCTCAACAATAAAACTCGGAGTCAACCAAGCCGACTCGATATAGAACACACATCCCTATTGGTCTACCGATGAACCCCTTAGCAAGGAGTTCTTGAAGCTGCTCCTTTACCTCCACCGGTGCCATACGATA